TGTTCCTCTCGTCAAGACGCATCGAATGAACTATAACTTGACCTTGAAAGGTCAACTTGAAAATTTGACCTCAGGTCAAGGTCATGACCTGACCGGAAAGGGTCATGTTGCATATCAGTCGATCCGTATCGTCGAGCTGAACACATCCAAGGCGTTTTCATCGCTCTAGCATGCCTCTATCAAAAGTTGTTTGCGAAAAACTGTTCGATACCATTCGTGACCTAAGATGACCTCAGGGCATAAACAAGGGTCACGGACACCATTTTCATGTTCTGTGTGTCTAAACCACTTGTAATTCGGTGTTAAGGAGTGTTTATAATGTCTTTCGTCCAAAAGAGGCGCATTTCAATTTTCTCCCATTGACTTATAATGGGGAGGTCGCAAAATTGATCTGACCTTAGGTCATCGATATCAAAATTCTGAGATATACATTTTGTACATGCTATTGCTCTTAGCAATCGCTGAAAGTTTCAAAGCGATCGGTCACTCGGTGTAGCTATGACAGACATTGAAACTTTTTATGAGGTGAGGTCACTTCAAGTGACCTGGTGACCTGACCTTGAATGACCTTGGTCTGAAATTTTCACAACATGTGTAGAATTGATGTATGATAAGGTGTACCAAAAACGGCGGCGATCCGCGCCGCCGTTTTTGAGATATTCGCGAAAAACCACAAGGGGGGTGTTCAAACACCCCCCCCCCCCAGCAGGGCGCGGGTTAAAGAAAATTTGAAGTTCGCTTAAATTGGTATAAAGAGTATATCATTCGATGCGCATAGACGTGCTGAGTTCACTGGTGCGTTTATTTTTGTTCTATCTTTACTAGAAAAAAAAGTTTTAAGCGAAAAATTTGTGACATGTTTTGGCGAGATTTTGTGTGGCATGCCGCTCCGTCAACTGCCGGAGGATGATAAAAAGGTTAACTGCTTTTGAGCTATCGGGAATCCCCTGCAGTTTCTGCGTCGGATTTTGGTTTAAGGAGCTTCCCAGCAATATCTGTTTCTCCCTGAAAGCCGACAGCTTGCATCGACACCATCCATGAGTATTTTGTAGGTATTCTCTGGCGCCAACTCGTTCACGAAAACTGGCGCCAACATCCCAAGCACCACTTTTCTTTTCAAAAGGACACCACTCCTGAACAAACGGGAAGTGCCAGGGGTGAATTTTTCGCAGCATATCGTAAAAGAATATGTCGGCCATCTGTTTCTTAGATAAATTGTGAAAATTTTATAAATTCCAAACGCTCGTCTATCCCCATCCCCAAATATTAGCTGGGCTGCGGAGTGTTGTCCGGAGAGCTTTTGTTTTGTAAACGGCCCAAACCTGCCTATCAGGTGCTTTTTTGGGATTTTTTTTTTTTGTCTAAAATAAAGATATTGCCTCCAGATTTGCTTTTTGGAACTTTCGAAGATAAAACTTCACATTAATTCACGTTTTTTGTGTACCAATTGTCCCTGATATTGACGATTTGTGGGTTATTTTCCCTAACCTTTTAGTATTATAGATTTGTAAAGAATTTTAAGCGACGCTTTGTCTTTATTTTGCGATGACCTGCTGTTTTTGAAACAGTGTACTCCTTGGTTGTGAGCTTCTTGCCATTGCTCGATAGTTTTGAGCGCAATTTCCAGCTGCTTTCCGGCACACCAGCCTGCTGTCGTACGAGGGTCGTTCAAAACGCTGTAAGTCTCGCATGGTTTCCTCCTTCAAAAATGTCATACACTACTTTTTTAGATGATCATCATGCAGTACCAATCCTCGTCGACATTTTGCCATGTGTCAGTTCCGACATACCATTCCCAACGTCCACCACTTCGGAAATAGAGAGTTTAACAACCGACCCGATTTTGTGATATCCATTGTCATGCGTGACCCATCGTCAGAGGTGAACCCTTTTTGTGAGCTCATGAAGCGTCGAATGCATTTGAAAGCAATGACACTGCTTGCGGACGGTTGTTACCAATGCTCATTCAAAATTTCGACGTTGAATTTCTTGTTGGTTATGAATTATTGAAAAAGCATGGCTAGTACGTGTCGACACCTTTTGGGACACACTGTACAATGAACAAAACCTCAATTCTCTATTTTGGGAATGCTCTCGGTGTTTTTTTTTTTTTACAGCATTCCAATGCTGACTCGCGCATTTCGCTGTGCTCCTTGGTTTCGAAGATAATCTGAGGGGCCGTCAAATGCTCCCCCAGCCCTCAGTCACTGGTGTTCGACTCCATTGCTCAGTTACGCGGGGGGGGGGAGGGGTAACTGCTTCCAAAGCAACTGCGCGGGCCGGATGGCACGGCTACTCTAGCCAATGCCACCCCACCAATTCCGGCGGGGGGACATTGACTGCGGGGGACATTGACTGCACTTATTTCACGCGTCGGTTCCAATAGAAGTGACCGTGTGCCAGTGTTTGCGGATGCTGGCGTTGTTCGGGCCAATGCCAGTCCCAATAGGATATTTTTCTTGAGCCGCACTATTCATTTACTGGTCGCTGGCTGCCTCTTGAATACACGCCAGGCGCAACTCGACGCGGATTGTGCGATAAGAACTGCTTTGTCTGGACTTGGCAATAAGCTGGCTGAGATCAATGATCCGCGGTGTATTTGGGTCTGAGTACTAATAACTCGTGTATCGCCGTCCGAAAACAACGGCTTTTGTCGTGGAAACTTATGTAAGAGCCGGAACCTGTGTGAGGGCTCAGACTCCCCTGGACCGCCTGAACCTATGCTACGTAGTACGTAGGGATTAATACTAACGCGGCAGGCGGTGGGCCTCGCGGCCACCTTCCGCGCGGTGGGGGGGGGGGGGGGGGCGCATTGTTTGCCCCCCTCGTATCTCCGAAACTACTGGACGGATCCGCAAAGTTCAAACGGCGTTCGATAGTCCTGTCAAATTTGTCGTGGGAAATCCAATTTCATTGACCTCGGGGTCACCGATAACGTCACAGGTCAGGTCAAAGATAAAATGTTTCACCGTTCACGGGTCTTCTAGGGAATGTGCTATAGCATCCAGTAAAACGCTCTTTGTCGAAAATCAACGGTAGGGCGTAAGTTGCCTGGTACATTGTTGCTATTGGAGGTCACTGATAATACCAGTTCAGGTCACTGGTCAGGTCACCAAGGGTCAGCACATGAACCCAACTTTACTAGGGTTGTGCGATGCATGTTTTATGGCCAATTTTTCATTTCCAACAAAATGGTGCTGTTATAAGACCATCAGGTACGGTTAAGGTCACTTTCTGGTCGAGGTCAGGTCAATGTCAGGTCAAAAAGGTCAAATTTCAAAGTTTATAGTTTTGCATAAAATGAGTAGTGATTCGATGCAGCTCGTCACGGCGAGTCTAGTGATGGTCTTTGTTTTGCGCTACGTGGTCTAGAATTGCTAAAAATTGAGGTTGAAAATTTGACGTCATAAATTTTGAAGTTTTTTGTTATAACTTGGCCAAAAAAAGAGGTATTGATCTCAAATTTGTTATGTGGATAGAAGGCGGTAGGGACTATCACATATATTCCGTTTTTCGAAATTCAAAAACTTTTGTAATTTTTTGGCTATTATATTCCCAAAAATACTTTTTCTTTCTTGGGGCAACAATTCAAAAATTTCAAAAATTCGTGATAGCAGTTTTATAGCCCTGTTAATTCTGCAATTTCTATGTAAAATTTTTCTCTATCTCTAAAGTTGTGGGCCTGACAGCTCTTCCCGCGAAACCTGTTTTTGGGTCGAAAATGGCCATAAGTGACGTCACTCCGACCGTCATTAGCGGCCAACCTATCATAGCTTTTGGAAAATTTTGATCACAATGTGTAAAAGCTATTCCCGGGAGGGCACTGAAAGTTTGGTGACGCTCGGCGCAGCGGGTCTGGAGATATATCGAAAAAACCAAAGGGGGAGGGAGGGCAAAGAAATGCCCCCCCCCCCCCACTACCTGGAAGGCTAAGGAGCTGGACTCTCCAAAGATACCCGAGGTCAGAGGATCTTGAGAGCTTATGGATGTCAGGCCTTACAGGTGTGTTGAATTGTAGGTATTTTCACTAGCTATGGCATACGTGATGTGATGGACGGAAGCGATTTCTAAAATTGGTTTACAGTGCTTTTGATAATCCGGATATTTGAACTTTTTTTTCACAGGACAATCAAGTTCCATTTCCATCAAGTTCCACTATAGTGTCCTTTCTAAAGCTGGAGTCTGCCTTCCATTTTTGTACATTCAGTTGTTCTTTCACTCGGGAGGTTTCTCGCTATTTTACGACACGTGCCAAGGCCCTAAACTACTAAAGCGCGTGTGGCGTCATGCGTCAAGCTTGCGTCAATCCCAGGAATAATCCCAAAGTAAAGCCAAGGTCTGGCTTGATTTCAAGTAATGTATTTTTATTTGGGTTCAATGGGGTGGGCGAAAGTTTAACTTTGAAGTATTTTTGTACCGTCCGTTTCCGATTTTCTTTCAAATTATGTCCGAATTGAAGTAGTAAACATTCTAGTAAAGATGACTGAAAAATGTCCGAAACCAGGTTTTCTTATATTAAGTCCTTGTATTATTCTCGTTGACTTGAGGAGGCTGATTTATTTTCAACATTTTGATGTACCTTTTGCAGTTATTTTGTGTGTCAAACAATTCCAATAAGTTGATTTGTAGTGTTTTTGTGTTTTGGAACACAATGCTTAACATCATGTTCAAACTCTGGCAGGGTGCGACTCTGGGAACATTTTTTTTTCTCAATAGGTACATGTGTGTTGAAGTTCGAGTAAGTTTCGGCCTTGTTGGATGTCCGAAAAGTAAGATTGCGATTGGCATCACCGGTGTATTCAGTTGCAAGATATTCTCGAACAACACAGATGCATACATGCATATTGCATGCATATATCAAACAGCCATAGGTGGCCTTTGGGTGGCCTGATGCACTTACCATGGCCGTCCCCTGAGCAGCCCGCGTTGTTACTCCGCCCTGCCTAGTGTCCCTTGCCGGAGTTCTGCACTGTAGTAACATGTATTCCCTTGTCTTCCAGTGTGATGATACGCTTCTCCAAGAAGTTGGTCAGCAAATGCATCTACATCCAGATTCTTTTGGCAACCAAAGGAGACCTGTTGGACGAGTAAGTACAATCGTTTTTTTTTTTTACATTTCAATTTCTATTTTTCACATGTCAATTTGTGCTCATTTTCTAGTACATCACATAAAGAGCAAACAAAAACACCGTCATCGTACCCATCCTACAAGACCCTTTCGTATGGCCGCGCCCTCAGCACCCTGTCCAAGGTCAGTTCGGTGACGTGAGTGTCGCTGACATAAAACCACCGGCCTGCTTCTGGTTCGAAGTCGCTTTCGACCTCAATATCAGCATCTGCCTGACTGGGTCGGGCCGGGAGCGATCCGTCCGCGTGGAGCAATCATTTTATTGATAAGTTTCTCAGGGTTTGTATTCGGCTATACGTGTGTGTGCATTTGAAATTCGTTTGACTTGCTGAGTCCAGAGGCCATGAAAAGTAACACACTATTGGTTTTTCAATCCTTTTTAAATAGTTTTTCCTTTTTGTAGCCGTAAACAATTTTACCACATTGTTCTTGAGACGCGTTGAATTATGCATGAGTATCTTGTATTTTTCAGTACCGTAAGGTTATTTGATATGAGTGGGGTTATACAAAACCGAAATTTGTGCCCCTTTCACGGATAGCCTGGAAAAAGTCGGGGAGTACCCCGGATTGATGCACGATAAGGTACCATAAGGTGAGGCCCTTAATACAAGTTTTACGGTTTTCGGCCTCTCCAAAAAGCGCGCTCCCCTTGGGAATTTTCGTAGATAGCGGGAAAATCGCGGCGCATAGCGTTGCCACCTTTGGGATGACTTTTCCCTCATCGATTTCACACATTGTGTGAAAGTCATAGCCTCAATTATATAAGTTATAAGTCAGTTTGAATGACTCGACCTCAAATCACTTCTTTGCAGCTTTGCCACCGTGCCAGAGTCACAGTAGATGGCTGAGCCCTTTGAAGGTTGGAGGATGTAATAAGGTCATCTCATAGGTATAATACCTGCATTTTGTATATATTTTTCTTTCATTGGCCTAAGGTCAGGCCAATTTGTTGACCTTCCATTTTAAGTCAATGGGGGGGGGGGGGGGTGTCTTTTGCCTCGTTGTATTGGCCAATTCTAACATGAATGACATCATTCACCAATGACCACCAACCTTGAATATTTGCAATGTTTGCAAGAAGGCAATGTTTGCTATTTGACCGGCGCCAGGCCGGTGCTCGGCGCCAATCGCGCTGTACCGGGGTCCCCTCCTAAAGGAAAAGGGCCACCTTCGTGAAATATGAAGATATCGTTGTTTTTCATTTTGACATTATTATTTTTCATTTTCTTTTTAAAACTGGTGCCAGAAGTGCACAATTTGCGAAAAAGTAGTTGCCGAAGAATGGACTGAGAATGATTGCCCAAAACGTGTTGTTAGACTACCAAGACAATATTCGTTGCATACGATGTCATTCAAAGGTCAAGGTCAGGTCAGGTCAGGTCACCAAAAACAAAATATAGAAAAGGGCATGTGCGACACATGTTTTATGGGTCATTTTACTCATAGAATTCAATAGGCACACTCAATAAGTGATATGGACCACCTCTGGATGAATTTCAGGTCGAGGTCAGGTCAAGGTCAGGTCAAGTGAGGTCAAATTTTGAAGTTGGTTGTTAAGGCCTAAAACGGTGTTTCTCTAATGCAGTTTTTTCACGGCGAATCGAATGGTGCTATTTTTGTTTCCGTACGAGGTCTAGAACTTCCAAAAAATCTTTTTTTAATTTTTGTGTGTCGTGACGTCATAAAATTTTGATTATCTCCCACATTTCTGAGCCGATTCTTCTAAAAATTGGTTTGTAGGTGCACATAGACCACTTCTCTGACATATATTCCGGTTTTTTTCGATACACTTAAAATTTTGGATTTATAATTGTTTTCCCAAAAAGTTAGTTTTTTGAAAAAATGTGGGCCAAAATCCAAAATTTTCAAAAAACGAGATAGCCATTTGATAGAGAAAGTAGAATCACGCATAACCTTTTTGGTACGTCTTGATTCCTTTAACCCTCGCCCGCACATGGGGGGGGGGGGGGGTGGTTGCCACCCCCCAGGTAGTTTTTCTGCTCTGCACTCAATATTTTTCGAGCTAGAAGGCTGATTTTTCGTATAGCTGCTCCTCTATCCTTTTTGATGTCCACTGAAAGTTTCAAGTTTCTGTGATTTTTGGTTTCGGAGACATGACCTTGTTTTTCAGGTCATGTCATGACCCAAATGGCCAATTCTCAACGTCTTTCGTTTGCCATGGGCCTTGCGAGCTTTTGACACCCTGATTTCGGCCTTTTTTGCCAGTCTTACCTCCCACCTATCATGGAACATGTTGTTCGACGATGTACAGGGGTCAAGGTCAGGGTCAAGGTCAACCTAGGTCATCTAAGATAATTGCGTTTTAGGCAAGCTGAATTTACTTTTTTTGATGTTTTTTGACTGCATTTTTGGTAAAAGCTTCTCAGATCATGATTTCATGTAATATGGACCCAAAAACAATCGGTGCACACATCAGTATACACACAGACATACAAACACATATAACCCGCGCCCCGCTGGGCTATTCAGCCATACGCGCCCTGCTGGGGGGGGGCAGATTCTGCCCCCCCTGTCTAACTTCCGAACCGATGGTCGTAGAAAGACGGGGAAAACGGCAATCGAAAGCTCTCAACAAGGCGGATCTTAAGAGCCCAAATTTTTTTGCTTAGGTAGGTCAGAGGTCAGGTCAAGGTCAGGTCAAGGGTACAAGATGCAAGTTTCTACAGTATCGGCCTTGCACCGTAGTTGCCGAAGAATGGACTGAGACTGATTGCCCAAAACGTGTTCTTAGACTACCAAGACAATATTCGTTGCATACAATGTCATTCAAAGGTCAAAGTCAAGGTCAGGTCAGGTCATGTCAGGTCACCAAAAACAAAATATAGAAAAGGGCATGTGCGACACATGTTTTATGGGTCATTTTACTCATAGAATTCAATAGGCACACTCAATAAGTGATATGGACCACCTCTGGATGAATTTCAGGTCGAGGTCAGGTCAAGGTCAGGTCAAGTGAGGTCAAATTTTGAAGTTGGTTGTTAAGGCCTAAAAAGGTGTCTATCTGATGCAGTTTTTCACGGTGAATCGAATGGTGCTATTTTTGTTTCCGTACGAGGTCTAGAACTTCCAAAATAATCATTTTTCAAAATTTTTGTGTGTCGTGACGTCATAAAATTTTGAATAACTTCCACATTTTTGAACCGATTCTTCTAAAAATTGGTATGTAGGTGCACATAGACCACTTCTTTGACATATATTCCGGTTTTTTCTATACACTCAAAAATTTGGATTTTATAAATATTTTCCCAAAAAAGTCAGTTTTTTGAAAAAAATTGGGCCAAAATCCAAAATTTTCAAAAAACCGAGATAGCCATTTGATAGACAAAGTAGAATCACGTATAACCTTTTTTGTTACGTCTTGATTCCTTTAAAAATGAAGATGTTAGCGGCGTTTGAAATTTTGCCATTTTTTAGGCGAAAATGGCGAACATGACGTCACTAAAACGTCATTTTCTCAAAAATTTTCCGACGGATTTCGCTCAAATTTTCAGGGAACGTGTCAAATTGATGTATGATAAGGTACTGAAAGTTTGACGTCGCTGGCGTAACGCGTTTAGAAGTTATTGGCGAAAAACGGGAGGGGGGCAGATTCTGCCCCCCCAGCGGGGCGCGGGATAATTGACCTTGACCTAACTTGGCCTGAAATGACCTCAGCCGCAAAATGCTGGTCGGGTAGTGTGAAAAAGAGGTTCTAGCTGGCTTGGCACCAGAAAACAGCATCGTCATCGGTATTTGATAAGCAGCGCACTTGATATCCAACGGTGACCCAAAACAGCAACATTTTTTAGTTTGACCTGACCTGGATGACCTGAGAAGTTAAAACTGGGTATCAATGGATTCGTCTCTTCCCAAAGAATCTTTTTGGTCTTCACCGCTAAGCTCTATCTCCAACAGGAACGAAATGGCGCGGGGGGGGGGGTGGCAACCACCCCACCCCCCTTGGGTGGCAACCAACCCCATGTGCGTTCTAGGATGGGAAAATGGCATGTGCGGGCGAGGGTTAAAAATGAAGATGTTAGCGGCGTTTGAAATTTTGCCGTTTTTGAGGCGAAAATGGCGAACATGACGTCACTAAAACGTCAATTTCTCAAAAAATTTCCGACAGATTTCGCTCAAATTTTCAGGGAATGTGTCAAATTGATGTATGATAAGGTACTGTAAGTTTGACGTCGCTGGCGTAACTCGTTTAGAAGTTATTGGCGAAAAACGGGAGGGGTGGCAGATTCTGCCCCCCCCCCCCCCAGCGGGGCGCGGGATAACCTGATCAACAAGCTTGGGCTAGGCCAAACAGGACCATGTACAGTTGTCAAGCGGGTGGTTGCCGTGTCATGGACAACAAACGTCACCGATCTAGCTAAAAGCTAGTTAAAGATAGATCAGGGTTAGCTACAAAACATCAGTACTTTGCACCACTACCTTCGACAAAATTTTGGAATTTTGGGGTCCTTCGCCTGGATAATACGCCAAAATTACCGGGAAAGCAGCGCAAATCACTACAATCTATCCAAAAAACATAACATATGTATACAACAAAAAACATATTGAAACACACTTTGTGGTCTAACGAAGGTATTCTGTCATTTGAACCGACCGAAAAGGGAGTGTGTGCATGTCAGATGGCTTCAACGTCCCAACATCGGAGACGGCCAGGCCCCCGTCGAAAATCAAAGTGTGAGACATTTTGAGCCATGGTGCACCCATTCGGCTTGATATGATGCCCCAAAGACAATTGTTAACACAGAGTACTACTGCGGTAATGTTCTAGCATTACAAAAATTGGATGCCGTGAACCAAATGGCCATAAACGGGTTTGTTTTGGAAACCAAATTTGCTAGATGTCAAAGGTGACGCCATGTTCCGGCATGGGGATTTTCCAAATCAGATGTCAAAAACAACGCAACAGTGGTGTAGGCGGAATTTTTTTGTTTCGGGGGACAATGCCTTATGGCATTGGAACACTTTGAATGTTAAGAGTATCTTAAATGATCGTTTCTCCTCCGGCAAGAGGTCAAAGAAAACCGACCTACAGCCAGTTTCGGGAGACCCGTAAAATAACTGAGACCAACACCGGCAGATATTTTCCCACCATTGTCGGCTAATCTTGTAACTAGCGTGTCCATTGCATATGCTATTTCATAGCCACCTTAGTTGACTCTATAGGACGACAAAAAGAAAAGAGCTCAAGTATATTTGCCTTATTTTATACACTAAATAACAATGCTCGGGTAATTCTGGGACACCCTGTAGAACAGGCCCACAACGGTGTATATCACTATATAAGAATAATAACGCGAAGGAGATCAGAAATAACGAATTGTACATATGACCTTGAACGAAGGAATTCGTAAACCATGAATAACCAAACAAACTTTGTTCACGAACGAACGGTGAACCCTGGATGTTGGTAGTTTCCTAGTTGATCTAACCGGATGTCAACATCCCTTTTTATCCCGCGCCCGGCTGGGGGTCCTGGATTTCCACGCCCTGCTGGGGGGGGGGTGTGTTTGAACACCCCCCCCCCATTCTAACTCGGCTCCTGGGCCACTGGGCCACGTAGCGATACGCGGAAGGCGGCGTTCGAAAGAGCGTCAAAAATAAGGAAGAAATCACATCAGACACTTTTTTGGTCAGGTCAAAGGTCAGGTCACCAGAGGTCATTGTAGGCCAAAATTCGCCGATTTGTAAGTCAGATGTCGACAATTTCCAACAAATCGACGCACAGCTCGGAAACTAATGAGGCTACAGCGCCGCGGAAAAGCTCATTTGATAGCCCTATGAACTTTCTTTCTGATTAATCCTCTCGGATTTGACCTACCGTCAACGGTTTTGCCTGCAGGGGGCAAAAACTGCCAAATAGCCGATTTTTTCGGAAACGGTTTTTCTGAAATAACTTCTAACTCAAACATTGCACGAACTTTCTGTTACCAGCTTCGTGTTCCTCTCGTCAAGACGCGTCGAATGAATTATCACTTGACCTTGAAACTTGAAAATTTCACCTCAGGTCAAGGTCATGACCTGACCGGTAAGGGTCAAAGTTGCATATTAATCGATCCGTATCGTGGAGCCAAACACAACTAAGGTATTTTCATCGCTCTAGCATGCCTCTATTAACCCGCGCCCTGCTGGGGGGGGGGTGTTTGAACACCCCCCCTTGTGGTTTTTCGCAAATATCTCAAAAACGGCGGCGCGGAGCGCCGCCGTTTTTGGTACACCTTATCATACATCAATTTTACACATGTTGTGAAAATTTCAGACCAAGGTCATTCAAGGTCAGGTCACCAGGTCACTTGAAGTGACCTCACCTCATAAAAAGTTTCAATGTCTGTCATAGCTACACCGAGTGACCGATCGCTTTGAAACTTTCAGCGATTGCTAAGAGCAATAGCATGTACAAAATGTATATCTCAGAATTTTGATATCGATGACCTAAGGTCAGGTCAATTTTGCGACCTCCCCATTATAAGTCAATGGGAGAAAATTGAAATGCGCCTCTTTTGTACGAAAGACATTATAAACACTCCCAAACACCGAATTACAAGTGGTTCAGACACACTGAACACGAAAATGGTGTCCGTGACCCTTGTTTATGCCCTGAGGTCATCTTAGGTCACGAATGGCATCTAACAGTTTATCGCAAATAACTTTTGATAGAGGCATGCTAGAGCGATGAAAACGCCTTGTATGTGCTCAGCTCGACGATACGGATCGACTGATATGCAACATGACCCTTTCCGGTCAGGTCATGACCTTGACCTGAGGTCAAATTTTCAAGTTGACCTTTCAAGGTCAAGTTATAGTTCATTCAATGCGTCTTGACGAGAGGAACACGATGCCGGTAAAAGTAAGCTCGTACAAGGCTTGGGTCAAAAGTTATTGCCGAAAAACTGTTTCCGAAAAAATCGGCTATTTTTGCAGTTTTTGCCCCCTGCAGGCAAAACCGTTGACGTTAGGTCAAATCTGAGAGAATTTCTCAGAAAGGGCGTTAATAGGGCTATCGAATGCGCTTTTCCGCGGCGCTGTAGCTCTATTGGTTCCCGAGTTATGCGTTGGCTTCTTGGAAATTTTCGACATTCGACCTGGAAATCGGCGAAATTTTGCCTTTAATGACCTCTGGTGACCTGACCTTTGACCTGACCAAAAAATTGACCGAAGTGATTTCGTCATTATTTTTGACGCTCTTTCGAACGCCGCCTTCCGCGTATCGCTACGTGGCCCAGGAGCCGAGTTACAAGGGGGGGTGTTCAAACACCCCCCCAGCAGGGCGTGGAAATCCAGGACCCCCAGCCGGGCGCGGGTTAAAAGTTATTCGCGAAAAACAGTCAGATGCCATTGGTGACCTGAGATGACCTTAGGGGCATAAAAAGGGGCCACGGGTGCCATTTTCATGTTCAGTGTGTCAAAGATACTAGTAAATCAGTATTTTAGAGTGTTTATGAAGACTTCCGTCTAAAAAGGCGACTTTCAATTTTTTCCCATTGACTTATAATGGTGAGGTCGCAAAATTGACCTGACCTTAGGTCATCGATATCAAAATTCCAAGATATACATTTTGTACATAATGTTGCTCTTATCAATCTCTGACAGTTTCAGAGCGATCGGTCACTTGAAGCTTTGGCAGACATTGAAACTTTTACGTAGTGAGTTCACTTGACCTGACCTGGTGACCTGACCTTAAGTGACCTGGGTCTGAAATTTTTACAACGTATGTGGAAAAGATGTGTGATAAGGTAGGTATGCTAAAAACGGCGTCGCTTTTTGAGATATTCGAGAAAAACCGTAGGGGTGGTTGGGTTCAAACACCCCGCCCCCCCCCCCCCCAGCAGGGCGCGGGTTATGATCGTATCCCTAGTTTCTATTATAGTTAGGTATTTGCTACTAAAACGTTAAAGGTAGTGTGCCACCTTTGAAAGATTTCCCATTTTATTTTTCCTAGGATAAGAAGCTTCTGTTTTTACCTAATATCGCAAAAAAAATCAAAAATGGGCCTGGAATAGTGCCTTTTTCGCCTAAAAGTTTATCGGTTTTTAGATATGTATAACAACTGTAGTGGGCTCACCTGCAAACAGGCGTCGGGCAACAATCGCGAATGCGGCGCACTTGTGACAATAAGCAAAGGTCATTATAGTGTTACGACCATACGACGTACGGGAATGAGTTATCAGCTGTCTAATCGTAGACAACACAATGTCGAGCCTTAAACTGTAAGCCCGTATTGGTATTGTTTCTTTTATTTGGCTGTCAAACATTATTTATGGTTTGAAATATGATTTTATGTAAAATAATTGATATGAAAAAGCCGTCTTATAAGTTATGACCCCATTTCACAACACGCAAGTGGCAGAAATGACAATGATCAGCTGACGCATTTTTCTTGGCCGAAGTCAGAGCGCGCGGCCCGACGCACCACGCGTATTTGGAAATTCCGACCTCGACGAGCATCAGAAGCCACCTAACAGGCGTGTTCGAAACCGCAGGAGATGATGATGAACGGGTTTATCGAAACTTGATTGGATGAGCATATCGGTAATAGCGATTTCAGTGTGTGCATTTACCGGGTGTCCCAAAAGTAAGGTTATCATTTGTTTTGGCCACACTGCCAAAAATACGCGATGGATAGATATAAATAGGACATCATATGAAACAGCATTTTATAAAATTTTATTCTGACATACATATGAGTCAATACATTGGCTCGTAGCCCCACATTTGCTGCTTTTCTACATGGCTACCATTTCGGGCCGCGTGCATGAATAGACTACGTTTGACTTCCTCCACTATTCTGGAGCGATTCTCTGGTGAGATGCCGCCTATGTTTGCTCGAAGGGGTCATTATTTAGTTCTTCCCGGCTCGTTGGGTTGTCCTGAAAGACAATCTTTCTGTTGTGTATCCAGAGAATAAACATATGAAGGTGTAACGTCAGGTGACCGCGGAGGCCATTCAATGGCGTTGCCCTGACTGAAAATTACGGGATCTCACATCCACTCTCGGAGACAATGCATGATCTTCAGGACGGTGCAAGCATAGTCTCCATCCTGCTGAAACCACTGCTGGCTGATGGTGTCGGCACAGCTGCGTTGCGACGAGCGGAAGAACCACTGGGAGGACTCTCGGGCCTCGGCCACCTCTCTTGATTTATTGTCACCCGATTCCCGCTGTCGTCCTCAGGACCTCGAAGCACAGGTGGCTAAGTATACATGCCCTGTGCGTACATTATACCTTTTTTTCTGACGTTTTACCGGTTGAGGCGAAACTATGCATGAGTTCAGAGATAGGGCGAGCTGATAGGGTCTGCTTAGGGCCGAAAACTGGGCGATATTTACCCTTTGTTTTAATGACGGACCCTCTCTAAGAGTTGAATTTCGACCTTCTCAGTTTTATGCCTACTGCTCGGTGTAGTTATGATCAAAAATGGTTTAAGCATGCAAGAAAATAATTTTATGGATGTACCTTGCACGTGTTAAAATTGGAAGTGATTCGGACTCTTACTTCTCGAGATATTTAAGTTTTAAATCATGACCTTACTTTTGGGACACCCTTCCATGAGTTTTGAAGGTATGGATAAGTTCTAAAAATCCGGTTCTCCTTATCTGGGCCATTAACTCCATACGGTCCAAGAAAGCTGGCACACTACCTTTAAACGAATACGAATTGCCGTATGTGTCGCGGTCCGCGTGACTGACAGATGCGTTTTCGTTTGGCAGCTTCTACAGTCGCGGCGGCTGGGAGCTAGTGACTGGCTGGTTCAGCGACGCTTGTGAACGCGAGAACTGGCGTTTGCTCGAAGACATGCTGCGCCTCTTCAAAGGGAGTCCAGTTACGGTGGAGCGTCTTAAGACAAACCACTGTCCCAAGCAGGTTAAACATCTCAGCAAGGAGGCGCAATGCGAAGGTGAGGCGACAGCCAGTGATGATTGCTGTGGTAACAAGATATCGCTTTATTTATACAATGTTTTAATTTATGTAGTTAGAATTTCAAATGACCTTTCCTCGATAATTAATTGGAAATGCGATAAAAAGCAAATATTATATTGTTTGGCAAATTTTCTGTTGTTTGAAAATTTGCCAAACAATATAATATTTGCTTTTTATCGCATTTCCAATTAATTATCGAGGAAAAGGTCATTTAAAATTCTAACTACATATATCAAGATGTTCCTCGCTAGAGCACTGCATACTATTTCTTCAATGTTTTAATTTCTTCTAAAATCTATAAACTCTAAAATCTAATATTTATGAACTCCAAATACACAGTACACTCATTATATTTATCGAAAGAGCATCGATGGTTTATTACAGTTTTTTTCCAAAAGGTGTTTGGCTCCATGTACGTTTTTCAGCTAAGCACGCGTTTTTGCCAGCGAAATGGGCAAAAACTAAACCTAAGATAATCGAACGTCGCCTAATTACGAGCGTGTGCAGCGAGCGAAACGAAGTCTTTTCAATATAACGGAAAAATCTCAGTATGAACGGCCCGACCAGACCCGGCCCGTCTCGGTCTGTAACGCTTTTAGTATATCTCAGCAACCGCTGGACCGATAGGCCTGCAGTCTTTTTTGTTGGGTACTGGGTAGTCATATTCCGTCTACCCCGTAATTGACTACTTTTGATACATTTCAGGGACCGTCGTGGCACGTGCCACGTGAAAAGTCCAGGGCATTCAAGCTGTTTTGTAAAAATAGTGATTTTGAGAGGCCCATATCTCCGCAGCCGCTTGGGCGATTGTCTTGCGGTAATTTTTGTTGGGTAGCTGCATCTCTTTTACCAAAGGTCGTGTACTCTTGATCTAATTATGTGAATGACCCCTACTGCACGTGCAAAATGCAAAAAGAAGAGGTGTAACATTTGTTCCCATTTCAATAACTCTGTAGTTACCAGGGCGATGTCACTTAAACTTGGCATACAGGTAGGCACCCACCAGACAATCGATTCCCATGTGTTGCGGTTAGGGTGCTACTGCACGTGCGCACGTGCAGGGGGCGCTTCCAGATCTCGAGAACGGCTGGGTCGATTGCGCTCAAATTTGGTACACGATTGGGGACCGGTTAGTAGGGTGCCGTGCAAAAGTCAGTTTGGACCCCGTTTGCACGTGCGCACGTGCAGGTGCCGCTACCAGATCTCGAGAACGGCTAGGTCAATTGCGCTCAAACTTGGCACATCGCTAGAGACCGGGAAGTAGGGTGTCGAGCACAAGTCAGCTGGAAGTACCCCCTCGTAATTCCGCACGTTCAAGGCTCACCCTCTCGCTCGCTGGTTTGTCGCCCCCAAAAGGTGTTTTACTGGTTTAAACTTGTGAATTATTACCGATAGATTCCATACGTGCGTTTTGGAACTAAAAGTTAGGACAGTGGTGATGTCATGCTATGGAACTTGCATTGCAATGTAATTTTTAATTGCAATTGACGGAACCGCTTACTCGATTCGGGCCTCGGTAACAGTGAAAAACGAAGTTTTCCAAAATTCATTGAAACTTTGTGCCTTCGTACGGACATCGGGTGCCATCTGCCACGAGTGACGTCATCATAGTATGCTCATTTTGGAAGACACAATTTCCTTGTATTTACCGAACACAATTTGGAAAAAAGAATATCTCAGCTTGATTTTAGTGGTAAGAAATTCTTAGCCAGACGCTGAAGTTGCTAAAACTGACGTGGGAACTTACATAATGAACTTGGAGCCAGACACCTTAAAAAACTTAGTGCGAGCTTTTCTTCTTCTTTAAGCTCGATTTTGTTCGTGTCCAGAAGGCCAAGAGTAACAAGTTTTAAATTACCTATACAGCATAGATATTTAATGTCAATCATGTTTTTATTCATGTAGTCTATGACAAGGTATATACCATGTTTATTTTGAGTTGAATGGCCTCGACAAGTTATATTGAACTTAATCGATCATTTGATCGTAAAACTACATGTCCAATGCCTATCAGTCGTCATGTTATTGCTCGTTCGTTTAACGCGTACTATTGCTCGTTCGTTTAACGCGAAATGCATACTGGATGTGATGGTCTCCTTGGCTCAAGCTGGCCGTTACTGTGCTTGCTCTATTGCTTGCTTTTATTAAGTAATACGATAATACCTTCATTCGGCTATGATTCATCCATATTTTTTTCTTTTTCAAAAATTATATTGCTAAGTAAAGTAATGTACAGACCTGTCTTAACGATGTTTGAAGGGGGGTTATTTAAACGTTTTGTCCTATTTACTATGACTACAAAACCATAACTCTGAAAACCATAACTCTGGTCGGTGAGAGTAAAGTAATTTAACCCTCTAATGCCCACACATAGTTCCACGGTTCCTAAAATTAGCACCTTGTAACATATGATTCATTTTGGGTCCCTTGTTCGAAATCTGGAGTCAAATATTTTTTCGCAGTTCAAATTTCGGAAATAAATTTTGTATCAAATATGATACATTGGGCATTCCACTTGGTAATTTTTAGTGGTATCAGACCACACAGAAGGAAGTGAAGACATAGATGAGAAAATATAGGTATATCATTAAAAATTTCAGTGATAAAAGTGGCAGTTAAAATGTGTAAAATGGCAACAAGACATCCTTTACTATGCACTTTTTATCAGAACATTTTCTTAATATTTCATTGGCATCCTTCTTGTATCAAAATGTCCTTTCAGTCGGTGCTTAGGGAACAACGCTAATCATAGGCATCTATTTACGAGTGCCTTCTATTCCTTCAATTTCCACGATACAGCGCGTTGCACTTGTGCAATTTTTTCATAATTCAGACATGTGGGCCGTGCTTCTCAAACGTAGATGCGTTATGCATACTTGATATAGAAATGAAAACATTACAGTTGGCTCGCGGTAATTGGTTGAAGTGAAGCAGTTCTGATGCAAAATGCTGGACAGCCTGCCGACGGACCGGGATCAATGCCAAAGACGATGTTGGTTTATCTTCATGATAGCCGGACAATCTCGGGTGACTGAAACTCTCAGCCTGTGAATCGTCAGTTAGCAGTTTGACTGGTCGTTCGGTCCTCATGTCATCGGCGTCAGTACAACAGCCGCGCACTGACCAGTGACCAGTGCAATAACCGTTGTACGTGTCAGACAACACAGGTACAGGTAACTGTGCACCGATCGGCAGGAACTTGCACAATATTCATTGACCTCATATGGAGGTGAGCATACGCATTACGCAATGCCGCAACTTTTATTCTTATGGTCAGTACAAAAGTAGTATCCATGCTAATTTAGTACCTATAAATCCTTTTTGTTCAGTGGCACTCAGCTACCACAGTTGGCGGTATATGTCAATATATGACAACAAATGACATACCTGGCAGTGAAAATGCTTGCCAGGTGTCAGGCACCTGCTGGAACTTGGCAGCAGTGCATGGTTGCCTACTTCTTAGATAGGAAATCAAAGGAACCACGCCCTTCGGTCCGGAGTCTGTCTTGTCATCGTCAAACAGTTGCAAAACCATATTCCTATGAGCGTTAGAAAAGTCGAGATGTATGAGGCATGTAAGGCCACTCATAGAAAGCTAGATGTTGGAAGATTGACAAGGATGAGAGGCGGCATAAGCGTACCAATATCGTTATGACATTTTAAGTCTGGAGCGAAATAGAGTTATCTGGCGCAAGAGGTGCGAACTTCACAAATTTATGCATCTTGTATCATCGTCGTTTGCAATGACGCACAGGCCATTGCAATGCTTATCACCTGAGAAAACTATGGTATTGGCACATCGTATGTTGCAGCGGCGAAAATTTCATAGAAAATATTGGAGTGCTATGCCCACTGTATCATATCTAGTATCCCCAAAAATAGGGGTCCATATCTTTGACCCTGAAAAAGTTGCGATGTTTTGCAACATACTATGATATATGTTGAACATTTGTCTCACAGTATGCCAAGTTTCTTTCCAAATAACTAATTTTTTGTTTTCTAAATGCTTAAATTTACACTTGCATCTCAAATTGATTTTCGGCAAAGGACAAACTGACCCTCTTCAAAATCACCTGGTGGGAAACTGAGAAATCATTACTTAAAAATTTTGCCACCAGGTGGTTGCCAAGACGTACCACTTCTGATACAGCAGGGTTTTCAACAATTTTCACCTCTATGATTAGCAGGCGAATTTTCTGCAAATTGACTTACAGATATGATACCGGGGGCACTAGAGGGTTAAGAACTGAAGTGTAGTAATTGAAGTTGTTAGAAGATTATGATGTATTCAAGCAAAGATGACTGCAAAACATCATTTAACCCGCGCCCTGCTGGGGGGGGGGGATGTTTGAACACCCCCCTGTGGTTTTTGGCATACCTTATAATGCATCAATTCTACACATGTTGTAAAAATTTCAGACCAAGGTCATTCAAGGTCAGGTCACCAGGTCACGAAGTGACCCCACTTCATAAAAAGTTTCAATGTCTGCCATAGCTACACCAAGTGACCGATCGCTTTAAAACTTTAAGCGATTGCTAAGAGCAATTGTAGGTACAAAATGTATATCTCACAATTTTGATATCGATGACCTAAGGTCAGGTCAATTTTGCGACCTCCCCATTATAAGTCAATGGGAGAAAATTGAAAGGCGCTTTTTGGACGAAAGCAATTATTAACACTCCCAAACACTGGATAACAAATAACTAAGACACACTGAACATGAAAATGGTATCCGTGACCCCTGTTTATGCCCCTGAGGTCATCTCAGGTCACGGATGGTATCTAACAGTTTTCGCGAATAACTTTTGATAGTGGCATGCTATAGCGATAAAAACGCCTTGGATGTGTTCAGCTGGACGATACGGATCGACTGATATGCTACATGACCCTTTCCGGTCACGTCATGACCTTGACCTGAGGTCAAATTTTCAAGTTGACCTTTCAAGGTGAAGTTGCAGTTCATTCGATGCGTCTTGACGAGAGGAACACTATGCCGGTAAAAGTAAGCTCGTGCAAGGCTTGAGTCAAAAGTTATTGCTGAAAAATTGTTTTCGAAAAAATCGGCCATTTTGGCAGTTTTTGCCCCCTGCAGGCAAAACCGTTCACGATAGGTCAAATCTGAGAGAAGTACTCAGAAATGGCGCTCTTTCGAACGTCGCCTTCCGCGTATCGCTACGTGGCCCAGGAGCCGAGTTAGAAGGGGGGTGTTCAAACACCCCCGCCCTCCCCCCAGCAGGGCGTGGAAATCCAGGACCCCCAGCGGGGCGCGGGTTAATGCCACATTATATTATTGCCCTCATTTATGCTTGCTTTGTGAAAGTGTTTGGGGGGGGGATAATATCGTTTCTTGCGTATTCTTTTACAACCATTCTGTCGTTTTAGATATTGCTGAACACATTTTAGCTGGTCAGTGTATCGTCTTCTAATGCTTTACTTGTTTGTGTTTTTGTAGATGTCAGGAAGCTTGCTCAGGAAGTGGTCGACATTTGGATGAAAGTAATCAAAGGAGAGCCGGGGACTAAAGAGAAGAAGAAAAGTGGCGACTCCGAAGAACGCAGAGAAGACAACACATGGAAAATGGAAATGAGAAATGGCATTTTTGTGATTAAGAAAGTTGACATTGATCAGTCAGCAACAGCGGTCAAGAGAGATTCCAGCACTAGCGCTGAGGAGGAGGACGTCAAAGAATCCACTGCGGATGGTGACGAGGATGGGGCTGATGGCGGGAGTGGGGACAAGGAAGGGGATGAGGGAAAAACCAAAAGGGAAGCACAGAACACCACCGAGAGTGGAGCCATGGAAGTGGATGGGGAGGAAGGGGCTAAGGGTAAAACTGAGGGCGAGGGGAATGACAAATCAGCTTCCACAGAACCTGCTAAAGGTGCTTCATCTCCCGCCACTGGGAAAGATTCAGACACCAAATCAAAGGGTGATAGCGCCAAGAAAGATGATGAGTCGAAAAGTCCGAGGGGCAAGAAGCGGGAGCATTCCTCGTCTCGCTCTGATAGTAAAAGTAAGAGGAAAAGCACGGACAAGAGCTCCGACAGAGGCTCTGACAAGAGCTCTGATAAGGGGTCAGATAAGAGTTCAAGCTCCAGAGACAAGTCGAAGAGTAGCTCTAGCTCCAAACATTCCAGTAAGGAGTCAAGTCGTCACCGAAAGAGTCATAAGGATCACAGAGATCGACATAAGAGCCGTGAGAGTGAAAAGCAACGCGAAAGAGAAAAGGAGAAAGAACGCGAAAGGAAAAGGCAAAGCGAAAAGGATAAGGAGACCTTGGCTAAGGTTCAGGGTGTCGGTCTAGGTAAATTGGGGGCGATTCCGAAGAAGAAGCCTACAGATCCTGAGAAGAAGGGCTCGCCCGGATCGGCTGGGTCGGCGGCGGCTGCGGCGGGCGAAGGCACGGCGACGGCGAAGAAGCCGCTGCTCCCCACGCCCAGCGACCGTCGGGCACCCACCGTGAAAACGTTCGGCGCCAAGTTCCGCTCCACCGGTCTGGAGGAGGCCTCGTCGACGGCGGCGGCACCCAAGAGGAAGCCGGCCGAGGTCGTACGCCCGCCGCTGCCGCCGCCGCCCAAGCGCGCTCCGGCGCCCGAGCCAACGACCGTGTCTTCGGCCGCCGATAAGCGGGCGCGCATCGAGCAGCGGCCGCCAGTTGAGCGGCCCGGTGGCATCAAAGTGATACCACCGAAACGTGAGTATAGGGTGGGCTAGCGTGACTGCGCCGGCCGCCCCGGCCGCAGGGTGGCCCGGAGCCTCGGCCACTCTGTCCGGGTCGGCGGCTCACAGCTGCCGGTCACTCTAGGTAGGGGAGGGTTGCCAGACCGCTAGTCAGTGTGAATGTGTGAATGTGCGTGTGAGAGAGATGCGTGCTTGAGGTGTGTGAAGGAAACTGGGAGTACCTGCCTGCTGCATTTCGAGCACCAAGCCATCCAGCACCAACACATCGGCTCGACAGCCACCGTTCAACCCGTCTTCACGGCGCTTCCTACCGGTATGTCTGGAGAACAATCTTCAGTTCTTCTTGCATTCTTAGGTTAAAATGTCTCAGTTAAAATGCTCTATACCGTCTTGCCACCGCTGTTCATAGCTTACCTTGAGGTGTCTGACTATCCGTTTCATTGTGTACTTTTCCAACACCAGGAAATGTTGTCAACATCCACAGTTCAGTCATTTTGGCTCACGTGTCAATATGCGACAGTTCATACCACTACCTACTCTACCTGCACATTATTCAGTGTTTTTTTTTTTTCACATTCCATGGGTGACAAATTGCTTGGCATTTTTCTTTACATCGGCACCAGTGTGCTGCGGTGTAGTCAGTTTCTCCAGCGTTATTGCTGTTTAAGCATTCATTGTTTACACAAGGAGCATTCGCACGTCACACAAGGAGCATATCACGTCACAAGACGGGTCAGAGTCTTGTTCAAAGTCAAAATCACTTGTTTCAACATCATTAACGTCGGACCTGAAGTTTGAAGACCATCTGTTAATCTCGGCTTTGGTTTGTTTTTGGACGTTGGACTTGCTGCTGTAAATGTCCTATAATGGAGAAAAATGCTTCCGGAGATGGATATTGCATCAATTTATTGTCCACTGTTAGAAGATGCCGAGGCCATTGCTAGTACCTTTACGGTATTTTGATATCCAAGCCAACTATTTACAGGAAAAAGATAATATATGATAAAACAAAGGGTATTTGATATTCTACTCACTTTTTCGATCCATGTCTTAGCATTTAATGCTTGGAATTTTCAATCTTAATATTTGCATTCGTTGCTTGTCTCGAGTTTAGTTTGTTCAATTCCAAGTGCTTAAACCAGTCGCTGGAGAAACTGGCTGTTCCATTACATATTTTTTGCGGAGTATGGGAAAGTTTGATATACATACATACTACGCAACACCCACGCCTTTGGCATTACTGGTGCTTCCATAGAAGTCACATTAGTAACCTGTGCCGCAGCCAGTTACAGTTCTTCTCCCTCTTGGTCTTCCATGCTTCCGTTGACTTCCGAAGTGTTTTTCAAATGCACTGCTATCGCGGCCTCAACAAAATTTCAATGTCGTGCCTCGGACATGTCACCATTTGACCTTTTGTCTCTGCAGCCTCGTCACTTGTAGTGAGTTATGTAACACATTGTCATTGGCCGGCGAAAGATACCAACTGTTGCTGGTACTTGGTAGCCATTGGATAATAGATTATCTAATAATTGTTCACTTCCTTCATGAAATGGCTGTTCTATTTGCTCCGTTCGTGGGTCTTTTTAACTATTACATATGCGATGCGAATGTTAGCAAAATGTCAGGCGATAAATCCCTTACGCGTCGCTGCGCACGCAGCAAATATTGGGCTGCTTGTGATCCATATGGGGCTCCCATACTTTCAAAGGTGTGTGGAAACCCCCTGCTAACATTTAAGTTACCAAACGAAAATTCAGTTAAAAGAGGCATCCATGAATTTTCCAGTAAGATATCATCGGCTTTGGCCAAGAATTAGTTAAATTCGATCTTATGAGGGGTGCAAAAGCATCTTTAAGTTTGGGAACCCTATTTGGTTTCGGAAGCCAATGAATACGTTTGCCGTTTTTCATGAAGCGCTCTAGGAGCTATGTCGTACACGCCATCGGGCTGGAGCTTATTTTATTTCATTTATGTATTGCTGTCGTGCGACATGCGGACGGACTTGTTTTCATGACACTTCGACAGGGCGGTGTGTGGGGTCAGACGTGCCGTCTGTTTGTCTGTCTGTCTATGCATGCCTCACCCGCCGCGCACTGTCTCGGCTCGCCCGTGCGAGCTGACTGTGACGGCGCTGTCGGCCGCGCCGGCCGTGTGTGCTGGTGTGCGGTGCCGTCCTGGGCCGGCCGCGGACGGGCGGGTGGCGGCGCCGCCCGTCCCGTCCCGCAGCGCCGACCGCCGGTGGCGCCCCGTCCGCCGCCGCCGGCTGCCACACACAGACACGCACACACACACACACACCACAGCACAGGGGACAGTCATGAGCCCCGACACGGCCCACAGGGGACGCAAATGAGCCCCGAGACAGCGACCGACCAGGGGACGCAAATGAGCCCCGAGACAGCGACCAGGGGACGTCCATGAGCCCCTTAGTTAGATGGGCGAGATAAGCCCGCCGAGGAGATAACTCGGCTTAGGCAGGACCATAGGATTCACTATGTCGTCGCCGAAAAGGGGTGGGGGTCGGCGGCGGCTGCTGAACCGCTCCTCGAAGGTGGTAGGAAAGGAGGGGGGAGGGGTACGTTGCGGGCTAACAAGCGTCATGAGTTGAACGGGCGAGCGGGCTCGCGTCATCAAGGGCGGCTGCGAGCCCGCTCGCCCACTATTTCGCTGGGTGGAGCGGCTGTGCGCCCCGGGACTGAACGGCATTAGACTCCACCCAAAACTGCTCTTGAATCGATTGGCTTTCTTGATTTGAGCGGTTAATCGTTCGCTTATAGCCAGTCCGGGCGATAAACGACCGAACCCGGGCGATACCTTACCGAATCCGGGCGATACTCTAACCGGTAGCACACATTTAGGGCAAAGGTCTAAGTTTCATACGATTTCAGTTGATTCTCCCCAGTTTCATGTTCGATCATCTGACCTGACGGGTTGTCTCGTAAACCTTCAGCAATTTTAAAATACAAACGTGGATTCTGTAAGCCTGCGAAGCGGGTGACTCATTAGGTGAATTTACTGTGGTCTTTTTCACTAGCACGCGATTCGAAAAGGTCTCAAGTTCATGGTGTTTCTTTGGAATCGAGGAGCAAGTCCGCGAGTGATCCGTGTAGGCTATGTTTGTGTTACGATCGGTCTGATAGCGGCGTTTGGGAGACTCCAGGCTGTCGGAAGTTGTGAAAATTGTCTGCGAGACTGCGAGCGCTAACGATTGTCGCTCCTGCAGCTATAGAGCGGAGGGGGGGGGGGGGGAGGCAAACAGTTAGGAGACGCTGCTAATGACTGTTGGGTTTCCATTGTTTTGCAACGTCATTGGCGAGCTGTTAACCCTCGCATGTGTGCGGCGTTTGCCAGCTTCTATTGTGTAGGGGGGGGGGGGTCGGTTGGACCCCCCTTGCCGTTTGGCTCCTGATCGAGCTAGAGCTTCGCGAAAAAAACGAGCGTGTTGCCCGTGACGAGAGGAAGCCGATGATACCCAATTTTAAAGTCCTAGGTCATTGGTTGACCTTCCAGGTCAGGTCAATCACCCAAAAGTCGGGAAAATCGTGACCTGTTATAAAGTCGTAAAGTGTTGCTGCTAAGGGGTTTTTCGGGGTGCCGATCACTAATATCGTGTTCGTTTTGATCTCAAATGATGTCTTTAAGCATTTGGACCAGGTGGGGTCAGGTCGGGTCAACCAGTAGGGGTCGTGACGGGTATTCGTAGTGCCTACGTGTCGACCACCTCTGACAGCTTCGTAACATGTTACGAAGGCACCAAAACTACTTCGTAAATGTTCAAATGGTGTCTAAATTCGAATTCAGCTCCAAAAACTAGCCTAGGAACATGTAAAGCTCGAAGAAGTGAACCGAGGTCATCAAAGGTCAATGACCTGACCTGTCCTTCAGTTGACCTTGACATTCACCCAAATGCATGGGAGCAACATAAAATGACATGTTTGAACGTTTGAAACCACGAGAAGCTTGCAAAGCGCGGCTAATGCGAGCCGACATACGCCGAATCGCGATTCCGACCAAACATGGCCTCGAGAAATAGGTCACAGGTCAAAGGTCACTTGGGTCAGGGTCATGAAATTTTCAGAGCAGGTGTAAAATTGATGGACTCGAGGGTACTGAAAGTTTCGTCGCGATCGGCCGCTTTTTGCACGAGTTATTCGCGAAAAACCATGGGGGGGTCCATCCGACCCCCCCCCCACTCACATGCGAGGGTTAACCCTCGCATGTGTAGGGGGGGGGTCGGATGGACCCCCCCATGGTTTTTCGCGAATAACTCGCGTAAAAAGCGGCCGATCGCGACGAAACTTTCAGTACCCTCGCATTGATCAATTTTACACCTACCATGTAAATTTCATGACCCTGACCCAAATGACCTTTGACCTGTGACCTCTTTTCCGAGACCATGTTTGGCCGGAATCGCGATTTCGCGTATGTCGGCTCGCACTAGCCGCGTGTTTGCAAGCTTTTTGTGGTTTCAAACGTTCAAACATGTGATTTGATGTTACTCCCGTGTGTGTCAAGGTCACCTGAAGGTCAGGTCAGGTCATTGACCTTTGGTGACCTCGGGTGACCTCGGGTCACTTTTTCGAGTTTTACATGTTTCTAGGTTAGTTTTTGGAGCTGAATTCGAATTTAGCAACCATTTGAACATTTACGAAGTAGTTTTGGTGACTTCGTAACATGTTACGAAGCTGTCAGAGGCGGTTGACACGTACTACGATTACCCGTCACGACGCCTACTGGTTGACCTGACCTGACCTGACCCGACCTGGTCTAAATGCTTCAAGACATCATCTGTGATCAAAACTAACACGATATCCGTGATCAGCACCCCGAAAAACCTCTTAGCAGCCACACTTTACGACTTTCTAACAGGTCCCGATTTTCCCGACTTTGGGTCATTGACCTGACCTGGAAGGTCAACCAATGACCTAGGACCTTAAAATTGGGTATCATCGGCTTCCTCTCGTCACGGGCAACACGCTCGTTTTTTCCGCGAAGCTCTAGCTCGATCAGGGG